GTGGTGATATATATATATATATATATATATATATATGTACTTATGCGGGTGTGTCTCGGTGGGGGCTGGCTTTGATGGGACCATTAAATGAATTTATAATAAGGCAAAATGAGCGACGGGGATTAAAAAAAAAATGATAATAATAAAAAGAAAGGTGAAGAGGCAGGAAACAAATACAACATGCCTAGACAATCCGGCAATGAGTAGACTCGCGTTAAGAGTGTGGTTTTTCTCTGTTTTGGTTCACTTAGGCAGTTGCTTGCGCAGGGGAGGCAGTGAAGTGGGGGGAGGGTTGATGAAAAGAACAGGTGATGTATATTTGTGGTTTTACGCGAACCGATAAGAAAAACTAAGAAACACGAGGATGGGAGCGTCGGTGTGGTACAGATCTATGGAAGGAAAAGCTGCGTAACCGAGAGAGAGAGAGAGAGGGAGGGAGGGAGGGAGGAGGGGAAAAAAATAAATGCGAAGGTGAAAGTGAAGAGGTGGGTGACTGGTAGCGCCGCACCCAACGACGAGGTGGGATCGGCTGCTTCTCTGTGTCCTCTTTACATTTCCCCCTATTTTTTTTTTTGGCACTATGACTCGGCGAATGGGAAATGGAGGAGGAACAACCTTCCAGGAGAAAGGTCAAAAAACAAGGTGTGCATAGAAACTGATGGTATAAATGACAGGGAGAACAGGTCTGTCCCCTGCAAAGGCACAGAGAGACAGAGGCGGAAGGAACAACAGGAACCATGAAAGTACTGTAGTTGAGGAGACGGTGAAAAAAGGGGATTCGGAAGATTCCTTACCCATCTTCTCTCTTTTCTTGTGTTGTATGTTGTTAATGATACGGCGCCGCTTAGGCCTTTTTTACTTTATCAGTGGAAGTGCGTGTGTTGTTGTTGTTGTTGTTGTTTTTTTTGCGTCGTTATTCGGTGCATATTTTGGGTGTGGGCGGAACACCTTCCCCCTTTTTCCCTTAGTTCACCGAGACTTTTTCCTCCACCATACGTTTTTGTTTTAATCTCTTGTCGAGTCCTTTATATATATATATATATATATTTATATATAAATATATATAAATATATAAACTTTGTGTTTTTGGGCTTGCAACAGACAATGTGAAGAGGTGCAGGTCAACAGGAATAGGGAATTCCTTTTTTCTGCTGGCCGAAGAGCAGACACTCCCAACTTCGACGCACAACGATTTATATAGTTTATTCTGAGAAACTATGGTTATCGCTTATTTATTTGATTTTGTTTTGTTTTTACACCCTTCTGCACTTTTATTTGAGCTCTTCCTTTCCTGCTTTGCTTCCCTCCTATCTCTTTTTCAGTTTAGTGAGCACAAACGCATTCGCTGTATTACTGAATATTAGTTATGCCCTTACTTTCCTGGCCGAGGTGATGACGTGAGACTACGTTGCGCCGTTACACCCCATTGCAGTACAGGATGATTTATTGGGCCCGGCCCAAGCGCACAGCACAGCACACCGTAGTGCCGTAGTCTCTTATTAACAGTAGCTTACTGCGCGGCCTTGATGGCAGTACGGTTGCCACGGGGGGAGCACTGCCTTGGCGGAAGCTTCAGTGATCTTTTGCAGAACTTCGAATGCATGATAACTAATTGGGTCAAGCAGAGACACGGTGCACTCTCAGGGGCATACAAGTGCCTCTCTGTTATCATTAAACACGCCAGTCAATGCGTCGGATGCCACTGGGTGGAGTAAGCATGTATCTTATTGGTTTACTTGCATTCTCCTGGTTCCGGCGTACGTCTATGTTTAACCCATACCGTATGATCTTTACGGCCTTGCTCTCCTGTGGTGGGGCACGGCATAAGCAGGTGGTGAGTGAGGCTATCAGTCATTCCTGTGGCCTCAACACATTCTTCTGTTTGGCTTGCCCATTTTTGAGACACGTATTTGGTGGACATCAATTATCGTTGTAGATGCCTTGTTTTTACGTTTGATCGAATTTTTTTTTCAAGGAATGTCAACTGACTAGCACAGTTCTTTTGTCGGAGGTTCCTGACACTTAATTATTCTTGCTCTTATCTTCTCTCTCTCTCTCTCTCTGTGTGTGGGTGCTTTGGGGGTTTGCTATCCTGATTTGTTTATGGGATCTTTTTTTTTCTTCGCCGTTTTTCCTCCCTTTTTTTCTGATTTACTCCAGTTAACGGGGTTGAGGCTTTGCGCTCTTAACTCGAGGAAAAGGTGAAACGGCGTAATAATGTTGTCTTTTAGAGCGATAGCGCCGATAGGCATCTGTGGTGCTGCGTTGACAGTTCATCTGCGGCACCTCTCCGTGCGTACGGAGGATTTTTTCAGTAAGGAGGCCATCAGCCACGCAAGGCGGGTCAGTTGGGCCCCGCACACCACAGAGAAGAAACAAGGTGTATTTGCCAAGCTGGCACGCTCCAATTTTTCTGATCCACTACCAAGCTCATTTACGCAGGAACCGTATTATGAGGAGGCGATTGAGGCACATCGTCTTCATCACAGACCGGATGTGTACATTTACAAGTACAATGTTTCTCCGACGCACATGTCCCTTCGTGAATAGCATTGAGTCCGCCAAGTGAGAAGAAAAGTTCGGTGACTCTTGTAGTGTGCGTGCGAAGGTCTGTGTCTGTGTGTTTCGGCACGGATACCCACACACTCACCGAGAAGACAGACATAAACGCACAGGGAATGAAAAAGGGAGTACCAACGGTGTGAAACAAAACTGTGAGGAATTTTACTTTTAATTGTTGCTATTATTATATATATTTGAGATTCCATCTTTTGTCATCAACTGCGTTTTTAGCCCACTCGTAATGCTGACTTTTTTTTTTTTGTATTGTTGTTTTTGTTCTATGTGGTATGTTTTTGCTACTGTGCGGGTCCAGGAAATACCCCTCTCCCCCACCTTCCCAGCCAAAAGGAAAAAAAAAATCACACAGCCTGAGCCACGCGTGTGCCTGCATGCGTTTACGACGGGTTCTGGGGCTATGGGCTGCCTCGACACATCGCTGAAAGGTGCAGCGAACGCCGGAGGGCGGGGATTTGAACAGTGCTGGTGGAGCCATTGATGTCGACACAACAGAGGAATGGCTACGGGGTCACGTGGCGCAGGTCGTTAGTGAGGGTCGGCAAACCAAGGAGTCTGCAGACTACTTTGAGAGTATCATGAACGACAAAGCGGAATTCTGCCAGTACGTGCAGGAGGTGCGTCGTCTGATGAACAATCAGGCCCCACGTACGCTCACTAATTACCAGGAAGGACACCTTGCCGAGCATTTGTCGCAACATATGAGCGGGATTGCGTTGAAGCAGCTGATGCGGGAACACGCGGAAGAAACGAATGCGCGGCACCACACTCAAACTGGTGCATCTACAGGGGAGAACGACTGGTTTGAGGCAGCCAACACGCTGGCTTCACCGTCTGTTCCGGGGTTTGTGAAGGATGAAGTGCTGCGGGAGATGCGTGAGGACCGAAAGCAGACAAGTGCCGCGTTTGAGGAATCTAAGGAGGTGCAGGCGATGGCGGAAAAGGGTGAGACATTGGCACAACACTTGCGACGACAACGTCAGCGCCTACTCCGCTCTGATGACAATTTGGATTGAAGAGAAAGCAAGGAGAAAAGGGCGCCCCATGTGGTCAGGAAGGAAACAAAATGAATTCAAATGGAGACGATAAACGAGGCTTAGGACTCTGGTAGCGAATGCGAGCTGCTTTCCATATTATTTGTTTTCTTCCCTTTTTTCTCTCTCGTTTGCTTTATTTTTCTCGAGTATGAAAGTTTCGGAATCTGCCCCAGTAAGGCGTGAGTTGCGCAGGGAAATTGCGGCACTGGGGGAGGGGAGGGGAGGGGAGTTAGTGAAGCGAAGCGATAAAAAAACAGGCGTAGAGATCTGTACTGAAATGCTTGCTAGCATTTTTTTGCGGCGCAGCTATTGGCTTGACATTCGGCCGGCGACTGTGGTGCTCCTGTTTTTGCTTCACTCCTTTCTAGTGTATGAATGCGCTATGCGGGGGCATGAAGAAAATGGAGCGGAAATGCTTGCATCTGCGAGTCAATTGACGGAACTCATGAACAATGCAGTTCCTGTGGGACCCATGTACTCCATTCGGGTTCACTTTCTTCACCATTGCCTGAAAGACGGATGCACAAGGGATAATGAATTCTTGGCACGTGATGTGGCCCCAGCAGACGTGCTAATCTTAGTTTTTCCGCCTAATATGACCTTGAACCGAGCCGAGGTAGTCCAGCACTTCGTTTTGTTGCGTCGTTGGTTGTGGATTACACCGTTGAATTTCTCCTCTTTCGAAGTGGACGGTAGTAGTTCTTACGCACTCCCGGAGCGGCGTTTATCGTTTGCTGAATCTGGGAATGTCCCCGTTCCGGTCATTCTTCGTTTCCGTAACATGTCGGCCTTTCTGCAGGCTGAGTCATCCCCACTAAAGGTGTATCCTGCGTCAAACGGGGCTTCCATCGCTGCATGCTTTCTTATTGAGACAGATCCCTCACACATTCGCACCTCTTCTGGTGGAACTCTGCAAGATGAACTTGCGGCAAACCCCAACGCCTCACGCATTCTTGCAATGGCAGTAAACTGGGGCTTTGCACACAACGCCAACTGGACTCTTTTTATCTCTCCGTGCGGGAGTAACCAAGTCTATAAGTGGGACAGGCGCCACTCTTATTCTTTGGAAAATACTATCGTGTGGTGGGTGTGTGCTGCGTCGGATACGTTCATCGAGGTAAATGCTGCAGCAAGCTTGATTACTGCCGTTACATAAACGTAGCCAATGCAAGTGCAAAGGAGAAAAGGACCTATTTTTCCTGCAATATGACGTATGTGCCATTTTTTGTCTTGATATTTGCTTTTTAAGCTTCTGATTATTTTTGGGCGTTATGGTTTTCTTTGCGTGCATATATATATATATATATATATACTGAGATTACGTTGGATCAGCTATTTTCGTCTTGTGGTTGTTGGTTTTTGCTTCTTTGCTTTGCTTTGCTTTTTGGCGTCTTCTGGGGAGTCTTTTTTCTCCACTAACGGTACGCTCCTTAGTTTGAGATTTATAAATGTAATTCACGTCTATTTAAGTTTCTTTTTTTTCACTTTTTTTTGTGATTTGCCTTCTGCACGTGCTTGTGTGTGTAAAGGTGAGTGTGTAGTGAGTGAGAGGTACACCAGCAGAGTAGCCAAAGGGAATGATTCATCTACTTTTCAGTTGGACGAATGTCCTTTGGGGAGGCATCCTCGCCGCCGCTCTTTTCGGGGTAAAAAAGTACACAGGGATGAGAAAGCAGGAGCAGGAAGAGTTGGATAAGTTACTGAATAAACTTCGAGGTACTCACGCACCAACCATCGTCATTGGTGTCTGGCTGGTGTTACGGTGCCTACACGCGCTGGGTCTTCTGCTTGTGTTGGAACTGGTTCTCGTAGTTGGTGTCGTGTGCTACCTTTATCGGAACGAGTCTAGGAGAGACTTCATGAAGGTTCACCAAGCTCACTGGCTGCTGCAAAACACGGAAAATCTGAAGAATATTTTGGGTAGTGATCTACCAGAGTGGCTAAAATATCCAAATGTGAGTCGAGTGCAGTGGCTCAACACACTGATAAGTGGTATGTGGACTTCAATTGCTTCCGCCACGGAGGCGTCTATTCGTCAAGTTGTGGTACCACTACTACAGGCGAATAAACCCTCCTTCATATATGAGCTAGCGCTCAAGGAGTTATCTATAGGGGCGAATCCTATAGTTGTTAATGGGATTCAGCACTACCCTAGCGATGACAATGCCTCAGTGGTTGACCTTACATTTTCCTGGGACAGTGACATGAATGTGCACTTGCATGTAAAAATGCCAGGACCTGACATGCATATTTGTATCCGACGATTTGAACTTAATATGCAAGTTCGTTGTATACTCTCGCCTCATATTCCCCAATGGCCATGCTTTGGCGCACTCTCAATCTCGATCATGAAAATCTGGGTGTTGAACTTTGATATTTCGGCGGTGGGGATACCACTTGATGCCGTGCCTGCTGTAGGGGATTTTTTGGATGGGTTTATCCGTAAAACTCTTATGGGCATGCTACAACACCCCAAGCGAATCTCCATCCCAATGGTAAAGGGGTACACATTGACAGCGGACCGTGCGGATGCTGCTCTTGGTTCTTTGCGTGTCCGGTTGCTGCGGATAGAGGACTGGCATCAGCGCTACGTATCCAGCAGAGAGCAAACACCTTTTTACGTGAAAGTGATAATGCTTCCTGAGGAAGAAAAAAAACGCATGAAGAGTTTAACGTACAAAAAACTACAAAGTGAATTACACGATTTGTTTAGCTTTGTTTTGTACGACACGATGGGGACCTTGCGCTTCTGGCTGTATTTTGATGTCCCTGGGACAGATCCCTGCGTTGGGCAGTGTGACGTTCCTGTTCGAGTGTTGGTGGACAATCAACGCTCCGAGCACGCATGTCTTTTGGTTAAATCGCCTGCTTTAAATACCGAGCCACGTGCGAAACTGATTATTTCGGCCGAGCTTCTCCCTTATGCTGGCAGGATCAAGTCGGATTCCACCGCAGCTCCTTCCTCCATTCCTTCACGCAGCGTGTCGGATGCCTTTGTGAAGCAGCAAGAAATGTCGGAGCATTCCTTTGGCCCCCCGACTGCGCGATCCGTGAGGAATGAAAGTGTCTGCTCGAATGGAGAAGGCGGCGGCACCCTCTTTATCACCGTGGAACGCTGTACAGGACTTAAGAACATGGAATACGTTGGTGTGTCAGATCCCTATGTTGTGCTACGGCTGCGAAAGCAGACGGTAGTTTCGCCCTGCCAAAGCTCCACCCTTGAACCCAAGTTCAACTTTGAAGCGGAGCTGGAAGTGTACAACCTTCAAACCGACGTGCTGCATATAACCATTTTGGACAAGAATGTTTTGTCCAAGGATCGTGTGATGGGCACTCTCAACATTGCTGTGGCTACCCTCTCAGGTAGTGTGAGGGATCAGCTTTCTGGTGGATGGAACCTTGAGCCGCAGGGCCAAGCGTTTTTATCTCTGCGCCTCTTGCGTCATTGAGTGCATTTTTTTTCTCTTTTTTTGTTAGTTAGTTTTTTACGCACGTTTGTCTGCGTCTTCTTTGTTTGTTTGTCCATTATCTTTCTTTCCGAACATAAACGAGAGATTGCAAATGCGGGATGCATATAAATGTGTGTGGGGTGGTTGCGGAGGTGCTGCTCCGAACCGGAGGGAAGGAACGAGCCGTCCTATGGAAGTCCCGGAGGAGACGCTGGTAATAAAAGTCAAAAACTTGAGAATGCAGAAAGTTTCTCGTGCGCATACACGCAGATTAGTATATATATATATATATATATATATATATGTACTTGTCTCCTGCTTTGAGGATGAAAGAGGAAAAAATAGGTGCGACGTGTTGATTTTTTTTTGTTTTTGTTTTGCTTAGTTACTGATGCGAGTACGTGTTTTCGTGTTTCTCACCCTCCCCCCTTTTTTTCTCCCAGTTTCGACGCAGAAGATGGTGATAGAACACTGCTTAACCACTGCCTCCCTCTTCTATATACTGTTTTTTGGGCTCTTCAATTTTCTTTCTTCTTGCAGCGACGATGCGTGCAGTGGTCGTCATCTGGCGTCCGTCCCCCCTCAGGCGGCACACAGCCTTCGCAGATGGTTTTTTTTTTTTTTTTGGGGGGGGGGGGGGGTAGAAGGGCAGCGAGGAGACACCTAGAGGAAGATGTGAGTGAATGAGGATGGAAAATACATCTATCAACTCACAGCGCTCATGTAATTACCTCCATAAGCAACGTCAACCCACGTTGTATTGCGGCTTACATCTTGACGTTAATTTGATCGTTTGATGTTGTTGTTGTTGTTGTTGTTGTTTTTGTATCTAGTTCTCTGTATATGCGTACTTTTTTTGTACCTTTCAAGTGCTTCCACTTCTGCGTGTGCCGCGTTCCCGCTCTGCATGCCATTTGGCGCCCTCCTCTTCTCCCCGCCCCAAACACACTGCCCTCGCTGCTTTTTCTCTCTTTCTTTACTGTCTTGTTGTGGGGGGCAAGCTGCTCGTGTAACGTTTGCTGTGAAGGCGATGGGGAAAAATCCACCGAAATGGCTGCCGGGGGAGCGGGTGAAGGAAACAATTCTGCTGCAGCGCAAGTCTGTGGAACAGCTGCGGGCGGACCGTGTCCTGCGGCGCGATAAGCTGCAGGAGCGTCGTGACCGCCATAAGGCAAAGTTGGACGCCAAGCGAAAACGCAAGCTTACCACGAAGAAGTTTATCTCCGCACAGACTCTATTGAAGCATGCGCAGCGAAAGGATCGACAGGGACGCATTTTCCGCAAGATTGGTGAGAAGGTGCGGGGCAAGCGCCAACGCATGGCGCCTGATGAGTACAAAAAGAGCCTGGATGAGAGTCGTGTGGTGCTGGTTGTGCGAGCACGTGGAAAACAAATTCCGCCTGAAGTTTCGGCTGCCCTTCGGCGCCTGGGACTCATGAAATTGTACGCCGCACGGCTGCTTTGCCTCGACCCCCGCACCGATCCCCTCGTGAAACAACTCGGTCCATTCTGTATCATGGGTCACCCCGATCCGGCGCAGCTGGAGGAACTTCTGCGCATGCGTGGAAGTTTGTGGAACGAAGAGACGCAGACAAGGCGTCTGATCAGCGGTAACCTCATGCTTGAACAGGCTCTAGGTCAATATAACATTCTCTGTATTGAGGACCTTTGCGACGCGCTTGTTAAAAAGACTGAGCACGTTCAGGCGATACTGCAACACATAGCACCATTCGACTTCCACCCGCCGCGTCAACTCTTCATGGAACGACACCGCTCTGTTCACCAGAAGTTGGAAATTGTGAACAAGGATTCCTTTGCCGCCTACCTGGCACAACAGCTGAAAGGTACCGCCAAGCGTGAGAGGAAGCTAGCAGCATCTAACAAGCAAAACGCGGCCAAACATTCATCTCTGCCCACTTAAGCATTGTGGGGTAACTGGTGCGTGCGTGTTTTTCTAGGTGTGTGGTATGCATGTGCACACATGTGACTTGCGTTGGTGTGTGTGTTTCTTCTTCTTCGCCTTTACCCCAGGCGGGGGCAGAGGCGCACCGCCCGTTGCCTGCAGATAAGGGATATACTACGTCTTTTTGCGAACGCAAGGAGCTTGGCAAGCGTTTTAACGCGGATGTGAGGGAATGAAAGGGCACAGAGTGAAGGAGAACATGCGAATAGAAGGAGAGAAACGTGTGTGTGTATGCGTGTGGAAGTAACCAAAAAGTAAAGCGACAAAACAAAAAAAAAACAGGAAAGAGAAGAGGAGTATTGTAACACCAGGAGGGGGTTGGGAAGAAATTCAAAAGGAGAAAAAAACGTTTAATAGTGAGTGGCGAGGGAAATGTCACCACCTCTCCTTACGTGCCCGTCCAGCCCCAATCATTACGAGCACTTGCATACACGTGCATGCTTTGTCCACACTCGCCTTATGTCTTCCGTTGTATTCCTCTTTCTCTAACATGGCTCCCGACCTCCGCTATGCTGCAAATGCGCATGGTCACTTTATTTCTTTTTCTTTTTGCTTTTTTTTTCCTTTTGGTGGTTGACACGTGTGTCACGCCGCGTACATGGGGGAAAGGAACAGCCAAAGAAGAAACGGTGGGAAAAACGATTGCCTCCTACATACTTACAACTACAGGGGCCTCAACATTTTCTGTTGGCGCAACGTATTTCCCTGTGTGTGGGGGTTTGTTGTCTACGGCTGACGATCACGGTGGAGTTATAAGGCGGGATAATAAAAAAAAGGAAGAAAAGGAAATATCCACACACACACACACGCAGAACGGAAGTGTGAAGGGGCGAAGTAACACACAAAAAATCAGCAACACCAACAAAGAAAAGAAGGAAACCGTGATCAATGTCGCAGGTGCCACAACAGAGGTTTGGGTGTTACATTGGTAACATTGACCGCAGTGTGACGTTGGATGTCCTCCGCCAGGTGTTCTCACAGTGCGGTGTGATCATTGACTGCTCCCTCAACGGAAGGGATGAGGATCCGTACCGCTACGGCTTCATCGACTTTGCCTCTGAGGAGGATCGCGGGCGGGCGATGAAGTACAATGGGTTTACGCTCGCCGGAAGGAAAATTAAGGTCGGGGTTAGCAAAGGTAATGTCGGGCGGCCAGAGGGATTTAACAACACAAATGGTAGCAGCAATAACGGCCCGAACAGCAGCAGCACCAACACCAACCAGCAGCAGCAGCAACAGCAGCAGGTGCAACAGCCCCAACAACCACAAATTCCATCAGTTGCTCTGGCGGCCACTCTTCTTCCCAGCGTAATACAACAGCAACAGCAGGGCACACAGCTCCTCATGCAGCTCATTCAGCAGGGCGCTATAGACATTAATAACTTAACCCCCGAGCAACAACAAATTCTCATGACGAGTCTTCTTCCCCAAGCAGCACCACCAACACCAGGAATACCCGCGATGCCACCAATGGCACCTATGGGGTATCCGCCCATGCAGCAGGCGTGGGGTGGGCATCGTGGCGGCGGTGGAGTTGGTGGAGTTGGAGTTGCTGGTGTTGGCGCCTACGCGGGTGGGCCTCCCGTAAACCGAGGAATGCCGTACAGTCGCGGACCAGCGAATCCTATGCCATCCGAAGAGACGGTGAAGCTGCGGGAGGTGCAACGCAAACAGTTTCTTGATGTTGTGCGGCGTGACGCAGAGAAATACGAGAAGAAGTTGCGAGAACGTGGCGCCAAAGAGGGGAAGACAGGATCGGTTTCTGGCAGTGAAGATAGTTCCGATGACGATGAGGCGGGTGAGAGGCGGCGCCGTGGGCACGGCAAGCGAGGTGAGGATGAAACTGAGGGCGAGAAGAACAAGCGGGCGAGGCATCACGATGACGGCGGTAGGCACCATCATCACAACCACCACCATGTCAACAGCAGCAAGGAGCACGCGACAGATGCCGGCGACAGTAATGCTGACAACAAGGCCGACGATAAGAAGGAGCTGGAGCATACTGAAGTTGTGGAGGAGCCTAAAGGGACAGAGGAGCATAATGAGGTGGAAGAAGTGAAGGTGGCGGAGCCAGAGGAAGAAAAAGATGATCGTGAAGAAATTTAGAAAATTTTTGAGTGGATCTGGAAATGAGTCAAAAAGAAAATCAGAAGAAACAAGAACAAAAAAAACAGTCACACACACACACACACACACACAGAAGGGAGGGGGGGGGGAAGGTGGTGACGTAAAAAGAATACCGTGTGCGTGACTGGAACACTGAGCAGCAGTGCCAAGCGACATCCAAAGGCAGGAGCGACGTGACAGGAATAGAGTAAGGTGCCAGAAAAGGAGAACAATCAGCAAAAGAAAAGAAACACCGAAGGACCGGAGTTGAGCATACTCTCTCTCTCTCTCTCTCTCTCTCTCTC